CTTGCCAGTGTCACAGGAAGTATTAACTGTTTTAGAAGAGTCAGCTAACAGTGGGCTTGTTTGATGTTTACCAAAGTAGGACAACTATTTCAGTTCCAAATCCCTTTTGGCTTTCATCTTTACGTATTTTCTGGATTTCACAAAAATCAGAGTTGTTCCTATGTTTCAACTGCTATGCCTCTGAAAAAATCCTTTTGCACTTCTTTTGACATCTAAATCAAATTTTATTTCAATTGCCTACTTAAGCGTTGGTATAGAGATACAGTTAAATATATATAAACACACAGTTACAGAACTGTTTGAAAAGACGTTGAAAAATTTACATGATCAAACTGGAGGCTTCTTAGCTTTCCTATCACTTAGCTAAGTAGTAATTTATTATGCTTTAGTAACTATTTCTTTAATGTGATACAGGTACAAATGTGTATCTACTTGGTTTACCCAGGAGAAATGCAGACTAGTTTTTTGGTATTGCAAGATTTCTGGCATTTGTGTTTTTGCTAACTCCTGCAGTGGATTACTTTTCAAATCTTCTTTTGTTCTTCATTTTTCCTCTTACAAACCTGTAACTTTTAATGAAAATTAAGGTTGTAGGTACAAATCAAAGTGGATTTCTAGGCCTACAGGTGCCAGGCACAGGGCAAATACATAGAACTTAGAGAAGCAGTATCAAGCCCTCGACAAAGCTGAGGGACATTACTACAGTATTGGGATGTCAAAATATTTTCTTGGAATTTAATTAAGAAATTCTGTGTGGGGTTAATCTAGTTTCTGTAATTGAATTATTTATTTAAGTAAAATTGTTGGGGATGCTGCTTCATGTGTAGTTTTTACAGGACTTGCATTACTACTCCAAAGAAGAAGCCAGAAGTATGTAACAAAACATCCAGATAGAGAAGGGTGTAAAGAAAGAAATGAACTCCCCTTCTCTCACCTTCTCCTAGCTGAGAATTCATCATTTTTCTATGAGTTTCACTCTTGGAGTTATATACCATTCCTCTTATTGCTGAAAAAGAGCACTTAGATGAGCCCCATGAAACTTCATCTTTACAGAAAGCAAGCTATTCTGTGATCAGCGGGACTAAGAGGTCTGATTTCATGCCTTATGTCACCTGAACTACCCAGCAGCTCCTTTCCTTGGTCCCTATCTCTCTACTGGGCATCTCAACGTAGCAGATTTACACCTCGCTATTGATTAGTCGATGCCTCTTCTGCACAAGGGGCTGGATGGCTGCTGTAGTGTCTTAGGGAGCATGACCCAAGTTTGCAAGCAGCTCATTAAGGTTTTGGTTCCAGATCAAGTTGCTGAATTTTATGAGTCTGGGAGAGTCTTTTCCTTTCTGTCAGCTTTGCTTTTGAAAGAGTTCAAAGTTTGGAATTTTTGTCAAGGTGAACAAATGGACAGATAGGTAGATAGACATTGTGGTTACTTTTTAAAAGAATGAATATTTTCCAACTGTGTTTTTTAGATGGTGAAATTATTACTGAGCCTTGAATATTTTTATGTCTTGGAATTATCAGTGTAATAAGTGACTTTATTTCGTGGACAGATGCTTTGCAGATTATGTCTTGTACTTCTCTTTTTAAAAGAATATTGTCTTCATCTTTTTGAATGGCTTTGATGGTTTTTGGAATATTTTATAACTTCCCCCTCTTAAAATGAATAGTCTTATCAATTGTTCTTAAAAATTCTATGATTTTTTTTTGTATTTCAATTTAAAAAAAAAAAAAGCCTTAGCTTTTCTCATAGATCGAGTATTAAAGCACATACCAGTCACATATAAACTTTTGAACTGCGATTTTTATTATTTTCCTCTTTAGAGAGCCTGATTCTATAGAATTGATAGCAACAGTTTAGCTTGTCCTAATGCCCTTTGGGAACAGTGTTGTGCTTAAGACAGATGAGTAGTCGTCTGTGTTTATGAGAACATAGTTGTAGTCTAGCTTTGGAAATTTGTCTTTATGCCACTAGTGTTTTTCAAATTCTATAGAAATATCTTTGGGTACTCGATATACTCTCCCCTAGAAAAAAATGAAATGCATAAACAGTTGTGATTTTTAACATTTTCTCAACATTATTTCACTGGTAGCTCACTTTCAGTGTAGCATTGCACCATAATCGTAGTTTCATTAGAACAAGTTAGAGCAGTGTAAATTCTCCTCTGTGTCAGCATAGTCATCTATCTACAAGGGTATGAGCTGGATCCAGCTTGTTTGTACTCTTCTGCTATTAAAGTCCATCTGCACCCTAGTACTTTACCATCAGGCTATGAAGCCACATTTATAAATCCTTGTGCAAGAGAATGAAAATATTCCTGGCTATTGATTGCAAGTCTATTAGAGCCCTAATAATAACTTGATAACTTTCAGTTCAGCATTTCCTTGCCTTTACTTTCATACCTTTCAGCTATGCACCATGAAGGACAATCAATGCTGCCAATATCAGACCATATTGCAGTAATTTCCAAAAAATTTAAAGGAAAAATTATCAAACAAGTAGGGTTTCTACATTATGTCTTCAGAAAGCAATTAAAGAACTATTGACTGGTTAATATATGATTTTTTTAATCTGTATGTATGTGCGTTTGTGTATGTATATATGTATATATATGCACAATATAATGATACGTTTTTTACTTTATATGATGAGTCTGCTCAGTCAAATATCAGTAGGAATTTTGCTGTGATATTATTTTCTACTGAACGTCTAAGTGACTACAAATTTCATAACTGCTGACTAAAAAGACCTCATGTACTTTCAAAAGTCTTCATGTGTGACAATGAAGCATTGAAACCAAAATAGCCAACTGTGTTCTGATGGCCTGATAGGAGTGAAACAGAATTATGCAGTCCTGTAGACAGTTAGGGTATTTCATTGGAGTTTATTATGTTCCTGTATTTGAATTTAGCATTTTTGAACTCAAATGGTTATAGGTAACATTACTTTGTTCAGAGCATTGCCATCTATTAAATAAGGGTCATAATACATGTATCTACAGCTATAGAAAAAGGAGAGGAAATTACAAGGAGCCTAATATCACTGCAGGGTGCTGTACTCAGTCAAGAGCAGTCGTCCTCTTTTTTTGGCTGAATGCTGATTCCTTGTGCAAGAAGTATGAAGCAGGAATAACCGGTATACTCACCACAGCTAAGGCAAAATTTCCTTCTTGTTGTTCATCAGAACAATCCTGCTATGTAGGCACTGTGAACAGCAAGCTTACCACTGTTCTCATTTACTTTCTTTTTTATGCAACTGCCCGAATAAAAGGCCTTTTGAAAGATAAAACTGCCCTGTAATATCTTTTTATTTTCTATAGTCTGCCATTTTGGAGAACCGCAACCTTTCTTTTAAAATCTTCTAATGGAAATACATAATATGATACTCATTACACCTTTTTGGCAATTACCTTTCCAGGAACATGTATTTACAATATTCTTAAAGTCAAATGTCACAGTGTAATCACGTTTCATACTCTTGAGTGTTTGATCCATTCCACCATGAATGCAGCGGAGAAATTCGACCAGCGTGCATTGATTGATCCACATATATTTCCTGGCAGTCCCAGCACACGTGGCATGGTGGTGCTTACCCAGGACCACAGAGCAACTCCACGTTCCTCTGCTGATGGAAGAATGGGGACATGGGTTGTACAGGAACCAGCAGCAGCAGTCCCAGATGCTCTTACTCATCCTGGAGCTCACAAGAACGGGGCTCAGCTCAAAGCACCTGACCTGCAAATGGGTCGCTGTTTTGCAACAGCATCTTGCTTCCACAGCAAAGAGCTGGCAAGCTCCAGGGAGCCGAATTCTGTTCTCTAGGAAATGCCTTTCTGAGTCAGAGCTAGTTGGTTAAACACAAAGGCTGGGGAGATTCAGGCGGAAGCAATACTCCAGTGCCAGCTCTATGGCCAGGGCAGTCCTTGTTCTTGCCAGCTGTGTAGAGCCTCTGTCCCTTCACTTCTCACCTCTGACCTCATGGGTTGAGGCAGAGAAGTGAGCTAACAGGCTCCCAGAGAGGCTTAGATCTAGATGACAGGAGATCTAGATGCACATCTGTCAGAAGAGAGCATGCTCAAGAAGTTTGACCACACACATAAAAGAAAGAGGGGCCAAAAAATACTGGTTTTCGAAATATTTGGTGTGATCAGTCCTGGATGTGTCCCTTTCTGCCACAATTTCTGAGCACACAATGTCGTAAATTATTGTTTAAAGTTAAATATTTTTCCCTAATCCTCTTGGGGAGCACTTGTCAGTCCTAAAAACCGTCCATCTTCCTACAGTTAACTATTCTGTGTTTCTGCACCAGTGCCTGTACTGCAAGGCATGTTCTGTGCCTTATTTTTGTGCTAATGGAGGTGTTCGCTATTTTTTCTTGAAGTGAATCAGTTTTCCAGCCCATGTTGAAATAGCTCCCCAAATGAATTCTTTCTTAGTATGATGAGAGTCACCATAGTAAACAAAAATATTTGAAGAAAAACTGTTTGCAAAATAGCTCAATTAAGAATACTGAAGAAGTTGTACTTGCCTATACAGTAACTAAAATCCTTCAAATTTAGCTTTCATTTTCTAGTAAGTAGTCTCTTTTTTTGTGTGTGTCCTCCTGGTGAGACGAACACCCCTGGCTGTGTTTGTGGGCAGGGTGAGTGCTGCTGGCCAAAGTCCCCCCATCGCTCACAGCCCTGATGAGGTGCACAGGGCTGCGGGTCCTGGAAGAGCCCTGGGCATGGTGCTGCCAAAAGCCCCATCCTCCATGCTGCTTGGACATCCTGTAAGGGATGTTAAGATGCGTTTGTGTTGTTTCACTGAAAAGTTACTGGAAACCTTGCAGTGGTTAAAAAGTTATACTTCTAGGACAGAAGATGTTCAAATATACCTTTTCCTGTCTTTTATATTTTCCATACACTGCATGCAATATTTATTGTGCAATGCTTAATAGTTCCTTTCACTTCTTACAGTGCAAACTGGTTTTTACAATGTGGTTCTTTGTCTTCTTTTTGTAGGCATTTCCTATTTAAACATGGATCGGGGTCTTCAGCTATCTTCAGTGCAGCCAGTCAGAACTATCCTTTAACATCCAATACTGTTTACTCTCCACCTCCTAGGCCTCTTCCTAGAAGTACCTTTTCTAGACCTGCCTTCACTTTTAACAAACCTTACAGGTGTTGCAACTGGAAGTGCACTGCTTTGAGTGCTACTGCCATTACAGTTACGCTGGCGTTGTTGCTAGCCTATGTTATCGGTAAGCCTCTGTTTCTTTTCTATGCTGAATTATTCGTTACCTTTTCTGCTCTGTTGTCATGCTTGCTTTTACACTAACACACGTTGTGATTTACTAGTGGTGTTTGGCAGTGGGTCCTTTGTAAATTCTGGCAAGTAAAATGCTATGTTGGCCAGAGGTTGAATACAATGTGGAGCTCTCATTAACTTTCTAATGTGTTAACCTCACTACTGTCTACTAGAGAAAGAAATATTATTCAAGATGACATGTTTATACTAGCAGAGGATTCCTACTGATTTTAATTGCTGTGATATTTTTCTTAAATTAAACAGCTGATTTTCATATCAAGGCTTACAACATTGTTGCTCTTAAATAATTATGCTGAAAAAATATCAGTAACTCTAAGTTGTCTTTTGTTAGGCTACCTTATTTCATTTCTTCAATCTGGTCACAGTTTAAATCTTTCCTGTTTTCCCTTTAATACGTATTTCATTGAATAGACTTGCAACTAGCTCTGAAATTAAGGCATTTTAAGCCACATTTTCTGTGATATATTTTGCTGTCCCTATATTGAATTTATGTTTCAGAAAAATGTTACATAAATTGAAGTGCACTAACTTAATTTCAAGCTCATTTTTGGTAAGTAAATTTGCAATTTTGTTATCACAATAGGTTGCCAGCATTTATCACAGTAGGTAGAAACTCCTTCCTTTTCTTTTTTTTGGTAGATATATTGAAGGTGGGCTTGGAGTCACTGTGATTAAAACTGTATGTGGAAGAGCAAATCTTTTTGACTTACTATATGGGATTTTGGCTGAACATTAATTGTTGCACATTTTCTATATGAATTGAAAATATTATGGAACATTAATTTTGTTGAATCTTAGAGTGTGACTGTGGCTTCTGTACACATGAAAATCTAATGACTTTTTGCTAATGTGATGCATTTTTTCACACACACGCTCTGTTGATTTAGTTGCCAATTTTCATATGAGCAGGAGCCAGAGTATCTCTCCAACATCTTATAACTTGGGTAGGAATAACTCTGGGCTTGCATGGAAGGTCATACTCGGTAAAACTAGTATAGAGATGCTGAGATATACCTCCAAAGAGAAAAGCAACCATTGGGTTTCTGTATTCCCTGAATAAACATTTTTATGATTAAAATTATGAAAATTCCAGTCACTTATATTTCCTAGTGTACTTTTTGTCCCATAGTGACAAAGTTCTTGTTATTCTCAGTGAGATGCTCATCAGGAGTTGTTTTTTTTCCTGACATCGTGATCTAATGCAGATGGGAAAACAGATTTGATGAAAGCAGATCTAGTGTATTATTATTTGATAGCACCTAAGGATCTAGTAAGCTACATTAATTGCAGATTTACATAACAGCTGGTGAGCATATGCCCTCAGTTAGGACTGGCTGTATAATTTTTGCAGCCTCATCTGTTTGCTACATATATATCCCACCCACGCCATTTCAATTTTATCTGGATGAAGCATTGCCTGCTTAGATTTCAGTCTGCCACTGAAAAAATTCTAACTTTTTGAGATGTTCTGCTGTATGTCATCAGCCTGAGAAAGCTGCAAGTGCTCCATATCACTAATTTAAAAAGCTCTGTATGAACTTCTTGTAGACACATCTGTATTTCTCGTAACTTGGTAACATAAAGATGTAACACATGTTTTCTTGATTTAGGCAGAACTAAGAAAAATTAATGTACTTTTGAATTTTATAAATTATTGGTAGTTCTAGTGTTTCGGGTTTTTTAATAGCATAATCTAAATCTTGGAACCAGAAATTCTAATTTAAAAGATTTTCTAAGATGCAGTTATTTGCCCTTATTTGCCTCAGAAATTATTCAGTTTACTAAGTTTTTCTGCAAATGCATGTATTAGCTAGCTTCTCGCAAATTAACTATCTGCTGTCCATTTCTGATTGGTGAAATACTTAATTGTGTTCATGGTCCATTCCTATGAGTCAGGTACCTTAATTCTTTCAGGTTTGTTAGGTATGAAGAACAGCATATAAACTATTTTCTAAGTTTGGTCTCTCTTTAGGGTTTCATATTTTGTATATTTTTCCATGTCCAGAATTTAAATGTGGATGTTCAAAATGGGAGTAACTGAATATACGAAATCAAACTGTATGTAATACTGAGGTTAAAATTCACTCCAGCAATTACTTTGCTCACCATGGGTCTGACCCCTCATGGGTCTGGGTCTGACCCCTCATTCCTCCCTCCAGGAGTGCTTCCTTAATGGCAAAGGGAGTTAGGTCTGAGCAATACTACAGACTTGGGTCTAAGTTGTAAAACAGAACTCATAATAATCCCAGGGGCAGACTTACCTGCGATCAACTCCATCATTGTTACTGGAAGAATAAGGGAGAGTTTGTAAAGGCAGATTTGTTTTCAACATTATATTTTATGTTATAGTCTGCATTAAACAATAATGATCTGTGATTTTTGGCCAATTGAACATAGATCAAAATTTAAGATTTTTCTTCCCCTTATCTGGTAACTTAAATGCACTTTCTAAAATATCTTGCACTGCTGTTAGATGCAACAGATATTGCTACTGTCAAAAATAAATCCAGATCTCAGCCTCAAGTTAGACCATTCACAAAGTCCTGGAAATCCAGTCCTTATTCCAGATCAAAAATTTGCAAGTAGTCTTGTATTTGTGTTGAACTGAGACCTGCACCAAAGTGCTCCAAGCTGTGATTTCTTTTCAGTCAAGAGGTGAAGTATCAAAATATTTTTTGTTCTTTTATTTTTTAGCCTTTCCCTATTATCAGCAAGACTCAGTAGAGAAGCTTTTACTCGAGAACACATACTTCTGTATTTTCTCTCCTTTGAAGTACTAGTCAGTTAAAAAAAAAAAAAAAAAAACTGTTTCCATTTTTGCTCTATAATCAGCATGTTTATTATTTGCTACTTGCTGAAATGAATCTGACTACTACATGAACAGTAAGGAAATTATAGAACTTCACAAATGGTTGTATAACAGCTGATTTATTGAAAATCTGTAGTCATAATATTTAGTTTATCAAGTAAAACACATTTTCACTTCAGTAAGAGTAATTTCTGTGAATAGGTTTTAGAGTCATAGTAGTTACTACAAGAAATGCTCATTTTATAGTTCATATGCTTGGTCTCCTCACCATAAATGTCTTGAATTATCTTCTATTGAATAAAAGCATATATGCTTTTATATTTCTTTTACACTTTCATATATGTTGACAACTTTAATGCATTCATGCCAATCTGAGGCCCATTGCTCAACTTTTCTCACAAAGAGGTCAGTAAGTCAGGTGAGAGCTGTCCCAGCAGGACACTGATGCTGGGGCACATCCTTGGTGTGTCCAAGCACTGTGGCAGCTTCACCTGTGGCTCCCAGGAGACCATCCAGGGCTTTCTGAAGCCAGCAGAGCACTGGATTAAGGCAGAGTGAAATTGCCACTGGAGTGAAAGACTGACTAGGGGAAACAAGTTATCTACTCATGCGATGGAAATGTGGAATGGGCAGAGTTTGCCTGCTAGCACTCGTTGTGTCCGGAGGGCATACGAGCTATGTGTGTTTTAAAGATTTATGCAAATCTGCAAATGAATGCTCATATTGGGAAAAAAAATCTGACTACTATAGGGAAAATTATTGAAATACATAAGTATTTCATATTCATATTACAAACTGCCTTAAAGGTTTTCTATTTTTGATTGTAAAACAGAAGCAGATAAATTCTGGCTGTTTGTTGATATGTATTTTTCTGGCATGATGCGTTTCAAAGGACTGAGATGGATACATGTCCCTAGTCTAGGCTCAGATATATTTATGGAGATGAAACCTTGCAAAAGGGCAGTGTGGAAACAAAAAGTGGAATTTCTTTAACAGTACTGCAAACTACTTTTGAAATAGCGTTCAAATCTGGTAAGTAAAATGAGGACTAGCAAACTGTAAGCTATAGTCAAGTCTATAACGTAGATTCCTAATTATCCCACAAAATATGAGACCATATCTGTTTGATTCAATGCAGTCAATACTTCTGTCTCTCTGTTCATCTATTGGTCTGTGTTAATATAAACCGTATAAAATAGTTTACCATTGTGGAGTGGTGTACTAAATATTCTCTTTTCTTTAATCTCACTGTAATAAAAGCCTAGGAAGGTATCAATAATTAAAGAAGAAATTCAACCAAAATTTAAGAGTTTACAAGGCAAATACAGGAGATAAAATAAGAAATACAATATTTTTCTGCAGTTTTCATACCATGACATTTTCTTTCAAAAAAAAAAAAAAACAAAAAAAAAAACATGATGTTTGATGATATGACTGCTCATCTAGTCAGTCATTTTTTGCTCATTATTAAGTAGGATTTTTCTCCATGATAGCTTCCCTTTTTATCAGCTGCTGATTTGGGCTTGCAAATCACTGGTCGTATTGATTAAAGGTGCTGAACTCCCATGGTTCTTACTGATTTCAGCGGGAGATGCAAATGTTCTGTGCCTCTGAAAATCGGATGACATGTTCTTAGGTGTAACCATGCCTGACTATGAAATGACTATTTTATACACAAATGAGTTCTCAAGTACGAAAATGAAGTTGTCACTATTCTTTGTGATATTATCTCTATTTCTGGGTATGCACTGGAGATGGGTGTTGGGTCTTAAATTATATTCATACAGAGGGTAAAGAAATTAAAACCTCACTGCTGTTTGCCATTGTGACCTACCATTTCTTGAACTGTCCAAGGCAGAAGAGTGACGGCTTCAGCACTGGGAAAGGCTAGGCCAAACTTAGGGGGTGTATATATCTCACAGCATAGATTTATAATATCAGTTACATAGCTTTAAAATGCTGATTTCACACTGAAGAGTATCATGTTATTGTACACATTGCTAAATGGTTCAGGCCTAAGTAAAAGCTATGACACAGATGTGCAACTCTGTAACACTGTTGAGCTAGTCACTGAGATTGCTGTTGGTGAGACAAGTCCATCAGGGTTTCACAGCTGGAAACAA